TTGTTATTTCAACAATATTCACAATATCTGCTCCAGGAGTAGATTCCATTGCAGGAAACCACTTTCTTTGCTCATCAGTAAGAAGCAACTCCTCATCCATTCAAGTTTTATCATGAGATTATAGCAATTCAGTCACATCTTCAGGCTCCACTTCTAATTCTAGTTTTCTTGCTACTTTCCCCACATCTGCAGTTACTTTTTCCACTGAAGTCTTGAAACCTTCAAAGTCATCCATGAGAGTCAGAATCAACTTCTTCCAAACTCCTGTTTATGTTGATATTTTCACCTCTTCGCATGAATCATGTTCTTAATGGCATCTAGAATGGTAGATCCTTTCCAGAAGGTTCTTAATTTACTTGCCAATATCCTTCAGAGGACTCACTGTCTATGACAGCTATCGTTAAATGATAAGACTTGAAAGTCAAAATTACTTTTTGATCCATGGGCTGCAGGATGGATGTCATGTTAGCGGGCATGAAAACAACATTAATCTCCGTGTACATCTCATCTCCATAAGAGTACTTGGAGGACCAGGTGCATTGTCAATGAGCAGTAACATTTCCAAAGGAACCTTTTTTCCTGAGCAGTAGGTCTCAACAGTGGGCTTAAAATATTCAAACTATGCTGTAAAGAGATGTGCCTTAATCCAGGCTTTGTTGTTCCATTTATTGAGCATAGGCACAATAGATAGATTTAGGGTAAATTTTAAGGGCCTTAGAATTTTCAGAATGGTAAATAGCAACAAGCATCGGCTTTAACTTAAAGTCACCAGCTGTATTATCCCCTATTAAGAGAGTCAGACTGTCTTTTGAAGCTTTGAAGCTAGGCTTTGACTTTTCCTCTCTAGCTATCGAAGTCCTAGATGTCATCTGCTATGGTTTGGATATTTAGCCCTGTCCAAATCTTGTGTTGAAATTTGATCCCCAGTGGTGGAGGTGGGGCCTGGTGGGAGGTGTTTGGATCATGGGGGCAGATCTTTCATGAATGGCTTGATGCCATCATTGTGGTAATGAATGAGTTCTTGCTCTATTAATTTTTGTGAGAACTGATTGTTAAAAAGAGTGTGGCACCTCGCTTCCCTGTCTTGCTTCCTTCCTCTTGCCATGTGATGCCTGCTCCCCTTTGCCTTCCACCATGAGTAAGAGCTCTCTGAAGCCCTCAGTGGAAGCAATTGGTGGCACCATGCTTCTTGTACAGCCTGCAGACTGTGAATCAAATAAGCCTCTTTTCTTTTTAAATGACCCAGCCTCAGGTATTCCTTTATAGCAACACAAATAGATCAAGACAGCATCTTCTTCCAATATAAGGCTGTTTCATCTACACTGAAAATCTGTCATTTGGTGTAGCCACCTTCATCAGTGACCTTAGCTAGATTTCTGGATGACTTGATGCAGCTTCTGCATCAACCTTGCTGCTTCACCTTGCACTTTTGTTTATGGAGACGGCTTCTTTCCTTAAACCTCATAAACCAACCTCTGCTCACTTGAAACTTTTCTTCTTCAGCTTCCTCACCTCTCTCAGCCTTCACAGAATCGAAAAGAATTAGGGCCTTGCTCTGGATTCGTCTTTTGCTTAAGGGAATATTGTGGCTGATTTGGTCTTTTATTTGGACCACTCAAATTTTCTCCGTATCAGCAATAAGGCTGTTTCACTTTCTTATCATTTGTGTGTTCACT